ATTCTGGAGATTCTATCAGAGACAGAACTTCCTTTGATCGCTCAAGTCGCCGATACAGAGGAAATATCACACGTGGATAAACATTTTGACTGGAGACAACCCTTATTAATGTACAAACAACAATCGGAGGTGAAAGTTTATGCGCAATTGCTTAACGATTCTGGGAGTATTAATGGGTGGGAATTTTCCGAGAGTTCACAAATCACAGTTGTTCCTGTAGACTATCAAGGTAGGTAATACCTCATTATTTTATTTAAGAAAACAAAACATTCTCTTTCTGCATATGAACCTATATTTGTAAGACCTTACAACTTAACAAATACCTCTCTACATTTGAACTTTCACAGGAAATGGCTGAGGCTTTTCTTCACCCAATTCTGTCTCTTCTGATCTGAGAACATTTTTAACAGTTTCCTTTTTTTCTGTCTTCTAACTTGGATCTCGGGTTAGCTTCCTTAATCGGATTTGCAATAACAGGAAGCGATTTTGCAAGAGGATAGATATTTATCTTATAGTAGTGGACCTATTTTTTTCTCTTTGCTTTGAGATAAAAAAAAAGTATACAAGAACTTTATTTTAAGAGAAAGTAGTATGCTAAAAGACGTTTGACCGACTTTTATTGCCCAAATTAGCGGATACAGACTATGAGACACAATATTCCTGGTTATACGTGAGAAAAATTGACATTTATGCACATGATAATAATGTGTACTTCTTCAGCTGACAAAGAAATTATTCTTACCAGTTTTAAAATAACTTCTAAACTCAATATACAAAGGCATTGCTTTAAGCAGAAGAAATTTATTATACAGATTAAAAATATCAATGTAAAAACTGATGCTTCCATATTCATTTCTAAGCAAATCTTTCTTTTGCAAAGTCGTAGCGCTTGAGAGAGATATATATTTCCTTTCGTATTACATCCAGGATATTTTGATATATATCAAACTGGAAATAATATCCTGGTGTTCTCATTCTATCTCCATTTCTTCTTTTTTAACACTTTGTGAGATCGCTTGTGTACGCGTATGTATTCAGACATTCAATATATTGAATCCTAACCACAGTTGATATTTACATATAACAAATTTCCGGTTCACAGATGTGCAAAAACCTCGTAACAGAATGATATATTTAAAATGAACCATATCCAGTTTCTTGAATGATGAATGAAAATATATGAAATATGTAAGATTTTAACTCCCAACTAATCTTGTTTATATATGATGAGTTAAAAATAATATTTTACAAGAATTCTAATACTAACGGCCGAATTCTAATACTAACGGCCGATTATAAATTGTACTGCTGTCAGAGTTTGCATATAGACTTTTCTTTCTCTATCTAGATTATAAAAGAAAGACAGGGATGTATTTATACATGACGAAAATCAGATAACTTTAACTGAAATATATAAACAAATGAAGGGAATGTCAGCGACTCAGCTTTACACTGATTATATTTATTCTAAGAGGAATTGAAAAGGGGTTTGTGAAAGATCATATATATATATATATATATATATATATATATTATATATATATATATATATATAGATAGATAGATAGATAGATAGATAGATAGATAGATAGATAGATAGATAGATAAAAGTCAGCTGCAGAACACCTGTGGTTGTAGGTCATAAATTGTGTAGATGATAAATGATAAAGAGATAGAAAAAATAATAATGTATTGATAAAATTTATATTCAACTGGAAAAAAAATTGTTTAAGAATTACACAACAGCCTTTAATCCGGTACAGAAATTCGGAAGGGGGGGTCATTTCAGGTCCATTTCATTTCAGGTCCATTATGATGGCGTGTATAACTGTCAACATTTTTTGAAAAACTTTTAAATTTCGAATCATAATAAAGACACATTTAGAATGCTGATTAGTTTTACAATAAATATAGTTTTACTAGCAATGATCTTATTCAAATAGAAGATAATTATGTCACACGGCTTTTGTTGAATTGGCGGAGGCAGTTGTGGATTTCTAACAAAGGTTTTTTACATTTCAAATGTTGAGTTTCAAGGAAAACAGGCCTATTGGAAATGAACTCGGATCTGGAAGTGTTTGTAGTGCAAGAATTAAAAAAACTTCTCTTCTGGCTTTCATACAAACATCAGTGTCATAATATGTAAGCTTTGTGTAATTGGGAGGTAAATACCTCATACATCTGTGCAACATTATTTTACCGATTAGGATACATCCTTTGGTGCAGTTGGGGTACATGTATATCACGTTACAATAGGGTACGTGCCTTTAATAGGAGGGAAATGGTATTAATTCACTGTTTTCAGGCTGTGCCCCATAATCATCAGGAAAAATTTTATCGATGAAAAATTTAATGGGGTTTAAGAAATTAATTTTTGAATCAACTACTACTGTAGAGTGTTCGATCCTATGTTCTTGTTTTAGATAGAGTTCGAAAATGAACGAATAGCAATTGAGTAGCACTGCAGATTGTTTTACCTACTAAGCTCCAACCAATATGCTAGAGAACTACTCGCCAGTAATGAAAAATACTCACTTCGGGTGGACATAAGAGTTTCCGCCCACATCTAGGCACATGCAAGCACTTGGCTAATATGAAAAGTGTTGATTTGTCAAGAGAATTTAGTGTAGAGAAATCCGTCACAGCTGTCTTTCAACAACAAGATGATGACGCATGTCGTTAGCAAAGTAATTGTGACTGGCAGAGTAAAACAAAATCAGAATGGTAAAAGACGGCGTGTTCATTTTGTTCATTAATTTTGTAGGTGACGTGAATACGTTGTTAATACAATTGCTTTGCAATATTTTCACGTTGTTTTTCATTTCTATTCTAGCGTTGATAATATTTGCTCTTTTTATGTGACCTTTCAGGATATCAGCGATCATTATGTGACCTTTCAGGACATCATTATGTGACCTTTCAGGACATCATTATGTGACCTTTCAGGACATCATTATGTGACCTTTCAGGACATCAGCGATCATGTCTTTCCACAATTCACTCTCCTTTTTAACTCTAAGTAATGTTTATTCCTTTGTTATCCCCCACCCCACCACAGTCTATGCTCTGCCATCCATTTACACAAGCTCGTTAGGTAGTGACAGATTAAAGGTCATGTGAGTGTCAAATTCTTTAAACTCTTTTTCCTCATTATGTGTCCCAGAAATTTTAGCTGTTTCTGATTCTAAGCAAAAGCGCTCATTTTGTTTCTATTTTGCTTTGAACTTCCTCGTTGCTTACATGTTCCGTCTATAGCATTCTCAGCATTCTTCTTGCCTCCTCTTTATTTGTGAGTAAATTGACAAGCTTTGCTGATGAAGCAATAAATTTTATAGAAGTTATTATCTTGACTTATCATTTAACTTTCCAGTTCTCTACTGTTTGATATGCATATAACTCCGTCCAGGGATTCTGGTATCATCTCTAAATTTGATCCTCGCAAAGCATGCGGACTCGATGGTATCCTTGCAATGGACCAAAAGAAATGTACTCCTGAACTGGCTCCTGTTCTTTCTACAATCAATTACTTTCTGCTTCTTACTTTACAGCTTGTTGGAAATCCTCTTCCGTAGTTCTCACGAGCTCTAAGGAATGGTCAGATCCTTTTAACTATCGATCTTTCTACCTCTTTTTGGAAAATCACTAGATGTTCTAATCAACTCCGAATTGGTTAAACGTCTCACCTTGCAAGGTTTTCTTTCAGACAAAAAATATGGCTTTCGCTTCTCTAGCAACTGCCGATATGTTAATGGTTATCGCTGAGTCTATCAAGCTTTATACAAGAACAGTGAAGCTCGGGCTGTTATTTTAGGTGTTTCGAAAGCGTTTGACAGCATGCTGATCTTCTTCACAATTTGAAAGGTTATGGTATTTGTGGCCGAAGTTTAAATTTGATTCAATTTTTCTTATCAGATCACGAAATGACCTTTTTACATTAATGCTTCCTTAGAGCTTTACCATTGGAAGTACTTTGTTCCTTATTTTCCTCAAGTGGGCTCCCAATGCCATCAGCTCTCGTCTCGTATGCTGATGACACAACTATTTACTCCTGTTTTAATAGTAAGTCTGATCAGTTCGATAAGATCAAATTGGCAGCTGATCTAAAAAATCACCTCTAATCAGTTGGTAACTGGGGCAAGAAATGGCTTGTTAATTTTAACATCTCCAAAGAGAAACTTTTCTCTTTTAATCGTTTTAGACAACCTTTTTTGTCTTCTAATATTATGGCTGATGCTAACCTCCAGGGGAGTAACTCACTGTACTTGTGTTCCACATTTGGTCCGGTCTGGTCTGACGCTTCTGTTATGTAGTTAAGGATCCTTGACAAAATTTGAAGAAGAATCAGCAATATGTTTGGTCCTGACCTAGCAACTCGACTTTAATCACTTTCCCACCGCCGTAACTTAGACCCCCCCCGTGTCATTACTATAAATACTTTCACTGTAATTTTTCTGATGATCTTTCCTATTTGGTACCTTAATTTCGGCCTGTACTAGATTGAAAACTAGGTATCATCAATTTACTCTTGAGGGTACTTGATGGAACCATAAGTGGAATATCTTATAGTTTCTTGCTTTCTTATAAACTGTGATCTTCAGAAATTTAAATGCAAAGTCAATTGTCATCTTCTTTCTACTTGAATCCTGTTTGTTTATTGTTTTCTTTCCTCAGTCATATTTTTGTCAGATTCTCTCACACTCTTAGTGGTTTTATTGTCATGTTTGGGGTGAATTGATTAAAACAAAATGTGAGAAAATATAGAAATGAAAGAAAACATAAAGAGTAACAGTCGAGAATCGCCTGTGAACTTTGACCTAATAGGAGGAGGAAGAGGAACGAAAAAATGGAAAAGAAGTGAACAAAAGAAAAAAAACTAAAAAGTACCAATGAACGCACATTTACGAGCTTAGCAAAAGAAAAACAACACAATTCTACATGGATTAAGGATGGGAAAATGAATCTTTTTCAGAAGCACAGAATCTATAACCAGATATCTTAAGATGTCGCTGTTTTGTGTCACATTCACCAATTTCTTTCTTTCTTTCTTTCTTTCTTTCTTTCTTTCTTTCTCTCTCTCTCTCTCTCTCTCTCTCTCTCTCTCTCTCTCTTACACACACACACACACACACTTAAGTCTTCCCATTCTCTTTCACTCCCAGTAACCCCTGGCGTCTTATTGGCATTATCACCTTACTTAGGGTGAAATGATAAAAAAAAAAGAAAAATCTCACATCCTACAACATTAAGTAAACGCTGTAAGGACCTATTAAAGTCTTGTCTATTCCGACGTGTATTCCCGATCTTCATCCTTTAATATGTCACCCACTGCCCGCACCTTAGCTTCCTCAGCTGCCTCAAGAGGTAAGCCAACTGAAAGCTTTTGGTAGTCATGATATTACTCACAGATGCGTTTGTTTGTCGTAAAATTTCATCTAACTGTTGATCTTTTCTTTATGCATTTCTGCATCAATTCCGTAGACATTCTTTTAATCTACTTCTAACTACCAGATCATGGTCCACCTTAATAAACAAGGTTGTTATCTCTATCTTAGCTATAGCTACTTCGACGATATGTGATTTAACAAACCTTTTATGATGCTAATCTATCTAGGTGAATTTGGCGACTAAAATCGACTGAAAAAGACCTAATACTCCTTTTGAGGTGGTGCCAAAGCCACCGTCAATTCCCGCTTTCAAGTATCAGCTGGCCCTGGAATTTCTTCCCTTCCAACTAGGACGCCGTGAATTTCAAGTAACTATACATCTAAGCTTAGATGTATCTAAGTGTATTCGAACTAAAAGTAGCCTATGGTCTGAATAAACTTTACTGGGAAAACTTGGACAATCTAAGAGTCCTAAGTGAACTCACCTGGATAAACTCGATATATTTTGCAAGAACGCATGGTTCAACGTCGATGCTGTTAAAGGTAAGATTATTTGAGGAGATTCATCGATTGTCATTTTATCCTTTGTTACTCATTTTCGATTGCTGTCTTTTCTTCGTTTTGTCCATTTTGTTTTTTTTTCTTCTATTCATATTCCTTCGGTTTCTTTTGATTTTTGTTCATCAATATCTTTTTCTATTCAATTTCATTTTACTGATTCACTTTGTTTTTGACGGCCTTAACGATGTTAAACTCGGCCATTCTTTTAAAAATAAAAAAAAGACAAATTAAAAATAACTTTTTTTGCTTACTGCATTTACACATTAATCATGTGAAGAAGCAAAAGAATTCAGCCACTGCCAAAAGTAATGTGTAAAACGACAGAGAAATGATAAATGCTGTCGCGGACTGGATTCCATGAGCTGCTCAAACAATTATTTCCTTACACTGATATTTAAAACTCTTTCTGAGAAAAGTTGGATCGTCTCACTCTCATTGACACATGCAAACAAAGACCTTCATTATTATAATACTGCTCTTGGTTGGATTGAGTGACTCTTCCGGTAAATGCTAACGCATACTTATTTACTAAAAAAGCTACGAGATATTCTGAGTAGTCAATGGGATTATTTAACAAATTGCATCATACAGTATATAAGAAAAAGAACCACCGAATGTTCACTTACAAATAACTTGAACACTTGTTTTTAGGAAAGACGGCGATTCAGTGAAATGGCAAAACATCTAATTAACAATTTCTGTTTACCATTTTAGCAACATCTCTCGTGGACGAAAGACTTTTATTGAAAAATTGGTTGAAGTGTCGGTATATTTGAAATTAGTTTTTCTTATCTCTATCTATAAAAGGCAGGATGTGTGTGTGTGTGTGTGTGTGTGTGTGTGTGTGTGTGTGTGTGTGTGTGTGTGTGTGTGTGTAACGAATGCACGGCAGCAATTTTCGACGGATTTGCACCAAAATTGACATGCACATGCTCCAAGTTAGCAGGAAGGCCAAGACCGACTTTGCATTTCCCAACTCCCGTTGATAGTGGAAATAATCGAGTTTTTCATGCTTCTACGGCAGTTTTCATGTAGTTTGCGGCCATTATCTACTGGCCACAGTGAGAGCCTATAGCCACAAATAGGCAGGAAGATTCTATTGGCCAGCGTGAGAGCCAACAGCTGACTGACACGAATGTTAACTAGCATGCTAGCATGCAAAAAAAATCGATAGCTGCATTCGTCCCAAGTGGGAAAAATTTAAATCTGCATGGCACTTTACTCCAATAGGCTCATTCGCTTGCTTAACCTCAACGTTGATTCTGATTCCGCAGAACTGGGTTGGGTGTGAAAAAGTATTTGTTGTTAACATTCTTTTTTCATTCGGTCTTTCCAGTTACGAGTCTTTTTGATCGTTTTGTGTTCATTTTGTTTAGTTCTTTTTTCGTAACAGATTTAATGTTTAGTATAGAGCTTAGAAAAAATTTTCAGTGTGAGATAGGCAAGAAGTAAGGCATGTAGCAACATCAGCACGGCAAAGGGCACTCCTTTAAAGGCAAGGAAGGGCAAAAATATTTTAAGTCAAGTGATAGCGATTGCTGTATGAGTCGTACGATTTTTGAATCAAGCACGGGCAACGCCAGGCCATGCTGCTAGTCTCAAATATCGAATAACTTTTCATATCGCATATATAGAGAAAATAGTCTTTCGTATTTGGGGGTGAAACTATTAAAAGGATCAGTAGAAAAATGAATGCTTTACTATGAGACTTGCTGTATTTGAATGTCTCAACGGCAATTATTTATGCTATACAATTTTTAATTGGCGCATGACCGATGTTAGCTTTCCGATCATGAAAAACGGTTTTTTTTTGTCTTGAAGGTGACTTTCTTGAGAAAGTGCCTGAAAACCATCCCACGAGTTGATTCAAGATTCGTGAGTGGAATTTGGTTGTCGAAACTGCTCTGAAGCTGTCGATGGCAACAAGTAATCATGATAGAGAGTTTAATCGAACTGACATTGTTCAAGTACTCAAGGCTACATCAAATTTTTTACACTCTCCCCCAGAAATTGTAGCTAATATTCGCTCAGAATAGTTTCAGTATAAACCACAGTTTGGCTCTGTAGGTGTTGAATGCTGCTTTGTGTATGTGCCTGAGCAGGCATCTGCAACAGGGATTAGCTAAACCTAGTAGACACCATATTTTTCTGTGACTGACGGATACCTACCAATACTACAAACTTTATGAGTACAACATTAATTACTCATACATGGGCTTTCGTCACTTTATTATATACAAAATAACTTGACTCACCCATTCAGTCTCTTAGATTTTACTTTGGATATTAATATTTTATAAGTTTCAAATAATTGAAACCTCGTTTACATGTTCAAAATGTTAAATCAATTCAAACAAAATTTATCAAACTAATTCGAAATTTCCTCTTCCATCTGCAATTATTTGTTATGCCTTCAACATAAAAGTTAATTTTATGAATTTTGTGGTCATAACTTTCTACCACAGCTGGGCCTCTTCAGCCACTTAGTCACTACGCAAAATCAATGCTTGACTTATAACCAGAGCAAAATGTTATTTTCTTTGCAATTTTCTTCTCTTTTCAAACAAATTATGTCATTTACATGACACACCTCCTTATATGCACTTATGTTCTAGGTTTATTAAAATAATAACTCTAATAATCATTTATTTGTACAGAGGATAAATAAAAAAATATTTTAAGAATATATGAGTATATAACATTAAAATTTCTCATGATGAAATATCAAAAAGATAAACGCCCACCAACATTTAAAACACCAGTTGTCAACTTTACCAATACTGTTGGCTATAAATTTACCTCAATAAGCATCAACATTTATGTCAACATAAAGTCTGCTAGCCAGTTGAAATTTGTTTCTGTCAACAGCCAATATAAATCGTAATTTTTCTCCCTTTTTTTTCTTTCTTTTCTCTTTAAATGTCATATCCCTTCAGGGCGTCGTCAGTCATAGCTCTCCACAAGTTCCTTTTCTTTATTAAGAGTGAATTGCCATGACTACTGGAAAGGATAATGAAGGATAATTCTCGTTGCTTTCGTCCAAGTTTTAAATTCTGAATAAACATTCTCGTAGACTAGCTGCCATTCAAGACCACATAATCCATATGCTATTTAACCCATAACTGGTGGGGGAGATAGATTCATGCCTTTCCAATGGACATACTGCGAAAGTGAATGCAACAGACTAGGACCAGAATATGAACTCGATTCGCGCTGATAATTGTTACCCTACCCGCACTGGTTAAATTTTTTTCTTCATAGGAAATTCCAAAAACACAATACGCAAGTTCTTTTTCTTTTATTTTTTCTGTTCACGCTTTGACCAGTTGAAAATTTCGTCAATATTTTTTCGATGTTTGTGTTTTTGGCACAATAATAAAAACGGAATATAGTATTGTGCGAATATATTATTTTGCTGCTGGAGAACGCGTTAAAAACTTTAAGAAAAACAGCATAATCACAAAATACATAGAACATCAATGAATTTATAAGGGTTTATTTTGAAAGCTGCGAAGTACAGAGGTTGTTTCTTAGTAACAAACTATACGATGCAATATCGAATCGCACACACACATATGACCGGGCGTATAGACACCAAGGTGCCGGCCGTATAACAATAGTTCAAGGGTAGTCTATTGTGTGCGATTTCGAACCGCCTTCGGTGTTCGCCTACTGCATCCTTGTACTAAACAAGCTGCGTATCATCCGTTCATTCTCTCTCTCTCTCTCTCTCTCTCTCTCTCTGTGTGTGTGTGTGTGTGTGTGTGTGCGTGTAGACACATCAGTAAGTCCGTGGGCAAATGATGTAAAAAGCATTTATTTTACGTAAGAAATATGCATTCTTCAACATAAGAATCCTTGCCAATTGACCTAACCTAAGCTTTCCCCAATAATCACATAGATCGAACATCATACAATTAGAAATCAGATCAAAATTCAGCTAATGACTATAGTAAGCTACGAATTTATTGATTCAGTCGTAAGCATGTACTTGATGGGAGCATTCTTTTATCATAATGAATTTATATTAGACAATTCTTTTCTTCCATATAAAATTATTTCATTTTTTCCTTTAAAGAAATATTATAACAAATTTCATATTTCAACAAATTCCTACTTTAATATTATATCTATATAACGTAAATAAAATATGTTTCTTGTAAACTCGCTATCGATCTATCATTAAAGCTGAAGACGAAATGATTAGTGCTGCTGTGTGTGTGGGGGTGAGTGGGTAATTTAAAAAACGCATATTGGACAGAGATTTGATGGATGCGCCGCATACTAAGAACTGGTATTTAAATGACATTGAAATACAGAAGTTTCATCAAAATAGACATTGGTATTCCCTACTATATAGTAGAATAAAATTCACGATGCACAGCAAGAATGCCCCCGCTAGACATCACATTATGAAGGAATAAAATGAACGTGGTTTGAGGACAATCAACGGAAAACCTAATCTCTACAGCGATCATAGACATCTTTATCATCACTCTCTCCTAACAACCACAACATTCGATTGATTTTATTTACCTGGCATCCCCACAAAGATAGGTTGACACAAGGTCTTTTTTAAGGTGGGTGTCCATACCGTATGGGCCAAGGACAAGAAATTGACCACTGTCACGCTGGCATCAATATTTCACCCTACATCTGCCGAAAGACTGGAATCTCTGGGGCCGGTTACCTTCTCCCTTGTAAAATGAGTAGAACAGACAGTACGCATTGAGAAGCAGGTTGAGTGATTGAAAGAAATCATGGAATTTCCCTGTTGTTAACTAAAATTTAATCTTTAGTACTATTTAATGGGAGTCAATATTTTGTTTTTAGAAATTATTACTTTCTTTATCATATGGACATTACGAGTGAGTACTGAAAAGAAATTATTACTTTCTTTATCATATGGACATTACGAGTGGGTACTGAAAAGAAATTATTACTTTCTTTATCATATAGACATTACGAGTGGGTACTGAAAA